AATTTGTCACATGTATTATTATTTTAGAATTCAATGAGATATTTACTGCACTGTTTTCCATTTAATTTAAAGGCTCCTAGTCCATATAGTTGGGAAACTTATTTATTGGTTTCTTTTGCAGAAGGCAAACCAAAGAAAGGTGCAACATACCCATCAGTTCTTGAATATTCTTCCTCAAAAAGCTTACCTGCAAAAACAGGCAAGTAATTAAAGTAATTACGGTTGATTTTTCTCTCAGATTTCTCATGTTTTTATGAGAAATAAAATAAATAAAATAAATATGTAAGACGAGAGCATGATATAAAGCTTTTATTGCAATGAGTCAGAAATAAAGCATCATCACTTGGTACCAATTCTGAAAGAGATGGTAATAATTTATACCAAATCATCACATGCTTTTTTCTACTATATGTGGCAACAATGCCAGTTATTCCAGAAAATTGTTATTTATTTTCTTTCCTCACAGCCTTCTCTTCCTTAATGGTTTTTCTTGCTTTAAGTCAGAGAAAAATGATTCTGTACCACTTGCATGAATGAGCTTTGGATTCTAGCTGTGGATAGGGGGCGTATATTTGCCTTTTTGTCTGATGCCATTTACTCACGCCTCTTGGAGTGATCAACTACGTGAACAATAATACGCAAATACCATAAAAAATTACGTCAACTGTCAACAGCCCTTTCAAAGAATAGCTATCCCCTATTGGGGGTTTATGCTTCTTGACCTGTGGCTAGTAGGGGAACACACATCCACCCACAATCAACAGATCCTTTTGCTTTTTTCCTCTCAGTTTGCTGCTTCTTGGGGCACGGTGTAGGAGGGCAGCTGGATCCCTATCTAGCAGCCTCCTCAGTCAAACACACACCCGGTTATTTTTTCTTTCATACAGAACCTAAAAAGTCAGCACAAGATAGGAAGGCAACCAGGAATACAGACACCTCTAATGCATCAGAAAAATCACCTGAACAAGGTATGGGTTGTGCATCACAGCAAATCCTTAGATGTGAATTAGCCCATCTGTCTAAACAGTCTGCAATGGGTTACAAAAAGTCATTTGAACTTGTAGTATGTACCAGTGTGCCTTTCCTGCAGCCTTCACTCTGCATTCTCATAGCAAAAGAATGAGCCTCTGCTTCTGCAAACCATCACCAAAGAGCATGCTGAGATAAGGAAGGAAAGGGAAGTGAGAATGCAAGTGGACCATCACAACCGAAGCTTTTCATTTACCATGGTATTGTTCTACTGGAGTGCAATATTAAGGCTTACACTGTGGCTTTCGGTCACACTCTTACCCACATCCTCTCTGTGTAGGAGCATCCGTGCATGTACAGCAACTTTCAGAAGTACTGTAGCTGAGGTTGGCATAATGATTCCAGCAGCACCAGATACAAACTCCCAGCAATGTCCATTTGCTCCTCTCTTACAGGGTGTAGTGTGTTCTCCCTCTCTTTTGCATAGCAGGAAGGACAGAGCCATGTTTTGTCAACTCCGTCTTCCTAGCCCTGTTAGTATTGTTGCTGTCTTCAGATTTGCCTGACGTTTGCATGCTGTCAGTACAAAGATCAAGAATACGCCTTTTCCCTAGCAGCTGGGTGCAAAGTTAGATGGTGGGACTTGTGCTTTGTTGTTGCTACTTTTTTCTCGTTAGCACATCTGAGAACAATTTAGCTCTAAGGAAGTTATTTTTGTTTGGGTTTGGTTTTTTTATTTTGTTATATTTTTGTTGGGGTTTTTCTGGTGTATCTGTTTTGGTTTTCTTAGCTCTCTTTGTTGCCCCTTGAAAACAATCTGAGGTTTGACTTTTAACTGGCTTGCAGCAGGTAGTAAATAATCCAGTAGTGCCAAGGATGATGCTTTCCAACAGGAGAACAACAATGAAACACCACGCTGTACAGATGTAGCCATGAATGGAATGAATAATGATTCATAGCCCTGCTTCACTCCCCAAAATGTATTGGATCTTCCTTGGGGTTGTGAGTTAAGTGCAGAGGAACTAGATTGAGGCCAGTTATTTGAAATGTTTGTTTCTGTGGCAACTTTTGTAGGTAGACCGAGATGGTAGATTTGAGAGAGAGAGAGAGAGAGAGAGAGAGAGAGAGTGTGTGTGTGTGTGTGTGTGTGTGGAGGGGATGTTATAGCGGATATACACACTATATATTTTAGAGAGTGTGTGTGTGTGTGTGTGTCTGTCTGCTCAAGATCTCCTCCTAAACAGTAAGAGCTAGGAGCACCACATTTGGTATTCCAATTCCTCTTCTCCTAACATAAAGCAACACCAGGAATTGGTTGTGCCACAAAAATGGGATGTGCCTGGAATAAGATTGTTTCCCATATCGTGGAAATGGAGGGGCTACTAGGAGAGACAGTTATACTGCTGAGTGACCACAGGGAGGTGGCCACACCAGTAAGAGAGTGGCCAGTTGAGGAAAGGGCTCTAAATGTTGCCATCTACAGGTAAGGTTCCCATCCTGGTCCTGGCCATGGTTGCCCCCCCCCCAAGGCTGATCCTCATGCCCCACAGGGGGAGCCCAATCCACTGCCCCCCAGCCTGCTACAGGGGGAGCCCAAGCCACCATCCCTCTGCCCTCAGCCCCAGCACCAGACCGGGGTGAGGTACCAGGTGAGTAGCACAGCCTCTGTCTCCACAGGGACCTCAGGCTTTCCAGGAGCTGCTGCCTCCAGACCAGCCTGGCTCTCACCGCTGCAAGGGGCCCCAGAGAGCCCCCCAAGACTTGCCAGCCCCTGGCCTGAGCCCCCCCCCCCATGTCCTTCCCTAAATCCTATACCCCCAAATCTCTGCCCTGAAGCCCCACACTCCTTGCCCGGACTCCTGCACCCACCACCCCATGTCCTGAGCCTCCCATAGACCCTACCCATGGACTGACTTCTGCACCTCCACCCCCTGCCTTGAGCCTCCCAACACCCCAAAATGAGTTAAGGACTCAAGCAATGATGGGTACCATCTACCAGTTGAAATATAAAATCACATAAATACATGAAATCATTTCTTATAGTGATATTCAGTAGACACGTTTGGCAGCTAGCATATTTGGAAGCATTTCATTTCCCCCTCCATTATAATAGTGGACATCCACCCTTTAAAATACCTGGTTTGAGGTGAGTCACATTTAGAATAATGTAGGTGTCCCCCCCCCATCTCTAACCCCCCAAAAAAGACTGTACTATCCCCACCTCTCTTCACCTCATCTCAGCTAAACAGATGGTTTCTGATCTTGACACAATTCCCTGAAGCATTTTCCCCTGGAAGTTGTCCATGCTTCAGCAAACCAGCAGTAGTGTGTTAGGTACTGCATTTCTCAGTTTTGCTCAGTGACACACTAAATGATTTTATAATACCACAGATAAAATGAGTTACATTTACATAGAGTTTCATCTGAAGAAGTGGGTTGTGCCTACGAAAGCTCATGATACCATCTACAGGCAGTCCCCGAGTTACGCGGATCCGACTTATGTTACGAACGGGGTTCCTCTCCCTGGTCTCCAGCAGACCAGGGAGAGGAAGCAAAGCGGCGGAACACGTGGGCAGCGGACAGGGCTGTCCGCTGCCCACGCGCTCCGAGGCTTGGCTCTGCTTTGCCCCCCCATCTCCACCTGGTCTGCAGCAGCAGAGCGTCTGGGCTGTCAGCTGAAAGC